TGACAAACATCAGCATTGACAAGATGCACGAACCTCTCCTCCATCCTCCAACCCACCTTCTCCTCTTCTTTTTGGGGATCAGCTGCAAGGCCGACTCCCCATTTGGGAGTCCATCACATCTGATAAGTGGGTACTTTCCATCATAGAGTATGGATACAAAATTGAGTTTGACACTGTGCCTCCCCTGGAACCAATCTAGTATATGGCTGCCTCTCCGATCCTTCAGGATGAAGTTTCCCAGCTACTTCATAAAGGAGTGATTCGAAAACTGCACTGCTCCAAAGGACTGCACAGTTTCTACTCTAGGTACTTTGTGGTACTGAAATGGGATGGTGGTCTACGCCCAATATTGGACTTACATGGCATTAACAAATACATCAAAACCAAAAAATTTTGAATGATCATGCTCCACAATATCCTTCCATTGCTCAGAAAAGAGGATTGGTTCACATCCTTAGACTTAAAGGATGCTTATTTCCATATAAGCATCCATCCTGCTCATAGGCATCTCCTCTGGTTCACTGTCGGTATCGACATATTTGAATATAATGTACTCCCTTTCGGTCTCACTACTGCTCGGAGAGTTTTCACCAAGTGTATGGCTCCTGTATGTGCCCATCTTAGGCTTCAGGGTATTCATATTTATCCTTACCTCGATGACTGGTTTATCATTTCCTCTCCCAGGGAGGGCCTTCTAGCCTCCATCGATGCAACCTGCTCCCTGCTTGACCAACTTGGACTATGCATTAATGTTGAAAAATCATGCCTTGTTCCTTCTCAGGTCATCAACTTCATCGGAGCTCACCTTGACTCGCTATGCACCCGAGCCTTTCTTTCTTGGGACTGAAGGGACAGACTACTTGCGTCAATCCAGTGGATCACTACTCAATGGACTGTTCCAGCGTTATCGATACAGGAGCTGCTTGGACATATGGCATCTACGGTTTCGGTGGTGCCAAATGCCAGATTGCAGATGAGATCCTTACAACTTTGGTTCAACCACACTTTCCATCCACAACATGATTGACCACACTGTCTACTTCAGCCACCTCTCTCAGTTCTTTGCACTCTGTCTTGGTGGATGTTAGATACCAACCTCTTTTCTGGAATTCCATCCCATCTAGCACAGCCAACCCTGACTCTGTACCGATGCTTCCATGACGGGTTGGGGAGCCAACTGCTCCACCTTCCAGACACGGGACCTGGTGAGGCCATGAGACACATCAACTATCTGGAGCTGCTGGCAGCTTTCAAAGCCCTTCATTCCTTTGAGAATATCTTTTGGGACCATATCATACAGATTGCATTGGACAATATTGTGACTGTGTTCTATATAAACAAACAAGGTGATACGAGGTCAGCCTCCCTGGCTCATCTCACTCTCTGCCTGTGGGACTGGTGCATTGCCCACAGGATCACTCCTCTAGCTGTTCATCTCGCAGGGACCAACAACAAAGAAGCCGACTCCCTTAGCAGACACATGTCAATGACTCGTGTGTGGGAATTAGACTGTCAAGTTTGTCAACACCTTTTTTGCCTCTGGGGAATACTGGACATACACTTGTTTGCAACTCATGACAACTCTGCACGACATATTGCTCCTGAGTGGGCATCAGCCCGATTTTGATCGGGGATGCACTAATGTTCCTTGGACAAACAGCTTCTTTTACACCTTTCCACTGATACCATTGATCACAAGGACACTAGCCAAAATCAGCCAAGACAATGCTTGTGGGATTCTCATAACTCCCTGGTGGCCTCAACAGTTGTGGTTCCCCACTCTTCTTCGACTTTCTAACAACTTTCTTCACCTTCCTTGGGTTCCACATCTGCTTACTCAACAACACGGCACAATTCAACATCCGGATCTGCACTCTCTCAACCTCACGGCCTGGTTCATTCATTGACTATTTTTTCCCCATCGGTATCAACAACTTTGTTGGATTCAACGCAAACAACCTCTCCGACATTGCTCTCTGCTACTCCTCAACTTCTTGATACACCTTCATTGAATATTGACACCATCGGTACTGACACCTTCACCCTGACGTACAGTTTATTCTCCAATCTGCGCTAAGACTGGCTATGTGCCGATCCTATAATGCTAAATGGAAGCGCTTTACCTCATTTGCTATAGCTAATAACATTGCACCCCAGTCTGCTACTATTGAGAACATTTTACAATTTCTACCCTTGTTACCCCAGGATGGACTTAAACCCTCTTCCATTATGGTGTACATTGGAGCAATCTCACATCATTGTGGCTGCATCTCGAGTTCCTCAGTATTCTCTCATTTCCTTATCTGTCACTTCTTGAGAGGATTACAAAATCTCCAACCATCGATCTTATCAGTAGTACCAACATGGAACCTTTCTGTTGTCCTTCAGGCTCTCACTAAGCCTCCTTTCGAACCACTGGCCATGACTGATCTGCATCTCCTCTCTTGGAAAACAGCTTTCCTAATAGCTAATACTTCAGCTAGAAGGGCCAATGAACTGTGTGCTCTACTTGTTGATCCTCTATACTTGAACTTTCATAAGGAGAAGTCATTCTTCATACCCATCCAACCTTTCTTCCTAAAGTCGCTTCTACTTTCCATATCAATCAAGATATTGTCCTGCCAGCCTACTTTCCTATGCCTTCGACGACACCGGTTGAATATGCTAGACGTTCGACGATGCCTAGCTTTCTATTGATCCCGAACTGAGTTCTTTAGAAAAACTAAGCATCTGTTCATCAAATACTCAGAGCATAACAAAGGAGTTCTGATTACTACCTGTCATGAGGTCGTAACTCACGTCTCCAATTAACTCACACAGCAGCTGGCAGTGAAGCTAAAGACTTTTATTGCTATTCACTACAAGATTTACGATGTGTCTGATAAGCTCTAATAACAAGCCCCTTTCAGTTCAGTTGCTCCTTTCTTTCTGAGCTACCTCAGGAGACGACGTGGCATCAGACCTTTCTGTCTCGCCTTTCCGTTCATGGGTGGGACAGACCTCTGTCCTGTCGTTGTAATTGGACTTGTCGCCTTAAAATCCTCCTAATTTGGCCAAATTTCCCGTTATGTCTTTTTGTTCTCCTGAACTCTGCTCAGCAGCTTCAGAGTCAGGAGCCGGGGGGGGGGGGGGGAACTTTTTCAGGCAGCTCAGAGCTAGGATGAGAGGAAGCCACTCTTTCAGATGCCTCCCCATCAGTCTGCGGGAAGGCTATTCGCTCAGGGACTAAGGGGTCAGGCTGTGGAGAGGTTACTTGCTCAGCAGTCTCAGTCTGCAGAGGGGTTGTCTGGGCACTGGGCCTCAAATATAAGTCCCCTTGTTCCAGTGCCTGACTCTCACTGTTAGCTCCTGCCTCTTCCTCATGAGTAGACGTCTCTGTCAAGCCGTTAGGCACGACACTACCCAAAGGCTTTCAAAATGGATTCTAGAAACAATTGAACTGTCTTATTGTCTCTCCAAATTGGACCTACCGGTCACACCTAAAGGGCGTTCTACAAGGGCTGTGCAAGCTTCTTCTGCTCTCTCTGCTTGCATTCCCATGCATGACATCTGCAGGGCAGCTACATGGTCTACTCCATGAACCTTCATGAGACACTACCACCTAGATGTCAGGGCCAGACAGGACTGCTCTTTTGGCCATGCAGTTCTCTCCTCCATTCTTCAGTGATGACACCATCCCACCTCTGGGTGTGGTAAGCTTACTAATCATCCATAATGTCTGATGCACAGAGGCCATGATGAAGAAAGGCAGGTTGCTTACCTGTAACTGTCATTCTTTGAGTGGGCATCTGTGCATTCACACAACCTGCCCACCAGCCCCACTTGGTGTCGGTGACTGGGTTGACAGGAATTGCCTCTTTTATATGTCTAATTCTGGTAACTGTGTTCACATGTCCATGCATGTGCATACCTACCTTACTGTCTTTTTGACAACTGGTTCCTGTCTTGTCACTTCCTATTGAGTTCAATTTAGTAAGTTTCACATGCGGGCAAATGGGCAGTCTTTAGTAGACTGGGGAAATGGTGCGCACTCTGCCCATTTATACTATTGTGGTGGTGGGGAAGGCACGGAGTTCTTGCCAAAACTGTTAAAGCTGTTTAATCTTCCCGACAAGAGGCACTGCGCAGGCGCAGCACCCATAATGTGTGAATGTACAGATGGTCATTTGAAGAACGACAGTTACAGGTAAGCAACCTGCCTTTCACATTTATGAAATTTAGCATATTTATGATGAGATTTAACTTTAATTGTGCATTTAGTATTCTATAGATAATTTTAAAATAAATTATGATTTAATAGTTTTAAAATTCTGTGTTTAAAAATCCACCCTGAGTTACATGGTCACTGCCCTCATAATGTCCTGAACCTAATCTTCAGAGGAAGAGGACTAGACATGAAAAACCAAGGACAAATGTGTATTCTTGGATAGCTAACATGAGACTGTATGATATATTTACTCTTTCTTGTAACAATTTCCAGAGAGTTTGTTAAAAAAAACCTATACAACTGCAGTTACATGCTGCTAAATTAGTCAATTACTGAGAATAGTTCACAAAGATACATGCATCAGCACAGATACTAGGATCTTCTATGGGCCTCCTCCTGCTCCTCCTCCCAGGAGGAGGGAAAAAAGAGGGACAAGCTTGGAAATGTTATTAATAATGGTTTCTGAAGCATTTTCAAAGCATCAAATGCATGTATTTGGCCACAAAATCTTGCTAGTCTAACACTTATACTTTATGGCTAAGTAGAAAGTAGAGGGGGGAGTCATATGCAACAAATCAGCATGATTCTCCCATCTACTACACCATCTCTTTAAATAGTCTTCTCACCCCCACCACTCTGTAGCTTTGCTGCAGATTGTCATGAGCCATCTTACTACCATAATTACTACCATAATTAGGTAATTACATAATTACCATAATTAGGGCCTGAAATTCCAAGACGTTGTTGTCATAACAAAATACTCTATATCTCTTCTGAATTTGTTTTCTTCTAGGGAAGCCCCAGTTCGGGATGTTATTATCCATCAGACATCAGGTAGAATTCACAACAAAAATGTTTCTACCCATCTCATTGGCAGCATTGGCAGAGGTAGGTAGTAAAAAATGAGAAAATACAATTAATTTGTATGTCAATAAACTCTGGGTTGCTTGTCAGGTCTAGGGTTACGAACTTCAGCCCTGAGACTCAGGTTTGGAAGTCTTTTCTCAGGTCCAGCAAGCCTAAGTGTCCAGATTTTCAAATAGTCGAAGATTACTGATTTTGAATTAGTTTTTCAGCAATACTATTTTCAAACAACTTTTAAAACTTAGTCCTTCTGAAGGAGAAAAGATTCTATAAGGGTATTTTTCCTCCCAAATATTTCCCCAATTTCCAGTAAGAGGGTATCAATAATTGCCACTTTCTGCAGGTTATGTGAAGCAAAGCAGAGCAAAGGAGAAACAACTCTTAAGAGAAAAGGAGAGAGAGACTGAAGCCATCTTAGAATATCACCTTAAAGCAGGATTGTGAAACCAGAATTAGGAGAAACATAGATTAGAGATAACAAGGGGACTCCTATCCCCACCTCACAAAGTCTTCAGTAGATTCCAGGAAGTGGGTCCTGAGAAGGGGAATAGGTGGGGCAACCTCCAGATGGACAAATCCCATGAACCATACTGAGCTTGCAGGCTGGAGGTTGTCTAGAAACTTTGTGTAGTAAAAATGTTTCTAGACTGCAATAATGACATAGAAACACAGAACATAGAAACATGGCAAGTCAGAATGGGTCTCCTGGGCCATCTGGTCTGACCCTCAACTTCAGCTGGCTCCACTCATGTAATCCCTAACTTTGCCCCATTGTACCACATCCTTTCCTCCAGTACAGGGGAGAACAGGTCACAACCATCTATCGTGTGACACACCTTTACATACCTGTGTGTTACTGTAACATCCCCTCTGAGTCTCCTGTTCTCCAAGCTGAAAAAACTTAATTCCCTCAGTCTCATCTGATATGTCATACCCTCCAATCCAGCTTCCATTCGTATGACCCTGCACTGAAGGGATTCTAACCTAGATATGTTTCTCTTATACTGTGGAGCCCAGAAATGGACACAGTCCTCCAGTTGTAGATGCATGAGTCTTATACAGCAGCACTAATGCCTCTCTCAATCTGGATGCCACACTTCTGGCTATACATTCAAGGGTGGTGTTCTTCTTAACCATTATATCACACTGCTGGCTCATGTTTAACCTGCTATTGACAAATACCCCAAGATCCTTTTCACAAGTGCTGCTCTCCAGCCACTTGTACCCTAACCTGTACTTATGGCACCTATTCCTGAGTCCCAAGTGCAAGACTTTGCACTTACCTGAATTGGACGCCATCCTGTTGTCTCCCACCCACATCCACATTTTGTCCAGATCCTTTTGGACCTGGAGTACCTGCTCCGCAGTTGTGGCCACCACCACCACTTTGGTATTTTCTGCGGATTTGGTCAGCAGGCTTGTTGCCTGCTCCTCCAGGTCATTGATAAAGAGGTTGAACAGAATCAGTTCCAGAACTGAGCCCAGGGGGACTCCATTCATCACCAGTTGCCGTCATGATGCTTCCCCACTGATAGTCACCCCCTCCTTGTGGTCCATCAGCCATGTCCTAATCCATTGGACAGAGCATCATTCTATGCTGAAACTCTCCAAGGATATCATGAGGCACCTGGTCAAAGGCCCTACAGAAATCCAGGTATACCACATCCACTGCATCCTCTCCATCTAGCCACCTTGAAACCTTGTCATAGAATTCCACAAGGCTCGTCTGGCAGAACCTGTTTTTGTGGAAGGCATGTTGCGTGGCTGTCAACCCCACTCCCCTGTCTAGGGTTTCTAGAGTTTTTTTGTTGTGGTTTCTGTGCATCACATATGGGCTTTGCCATGCAGAGCAAAGGCTTGGATCAGGGAAAAAAAAAACAAACTTCTGTAGTATCATGGGGCATGGGGTGGGTGGGAGGCCCCCCCCCCACGGTCTCAGGATAAAAGGGGCAGGGCTGCCACCCAGTCCCTCAGCTCCTTTTTGACTGCACATGCATTCACCTTGCTGATTGGAATCCCTTAACTTTCTCACTCTCTCTGTCTCTCTATGGTTGACCCAGCTTTTCAGAGCTGTGCCTTGTATGCAGCTTGCCTGCCTACTGCAGACAACCACTCTTGCTACCCTTCTCTGCCTCAGTGAGAGGCACATTGTGGAGACCTGTCTGCACTGCCAGGTGGTCAAAAAGTAGATCTGCCAGCAGTGCTTGACTTGAGTTCACCTTATGACAGCATGCTTTGCAGATTGCCAACTCTTCTAGAGCAGAGGTGGAACAGTCTGACCCTCTGCAGACAGAGGAGACTAAACAACCAGCAAAAAAGACCTGAAAAAGGGTTGCTCCCGTGATGAAGGAGAAGCCATCAGGGGCCATGACTGTTCCCCAAAAGAAAAAGTGCCACTCTACCAGACCCGCCTCTCCTACAGCTACATTGCTGTGCAACAATTGCCCTCCTACTCCAGATCCCAGGGTCCCGCTGGATGGTGCCCCCACTGTCTCTGCTGTCCCAGGCCTCATGGCACCAGTTAGCATCAGCACCACCATGTGGGCCAGCATCATCACTCCACCCATGCCGAGGAGGCCCCCTCCCCACACCAATTGTGTGCCTCTCAACACTGGGAGGACATTGGTTTTGATGCCAGCCCTGATGATCACCACTGTGGCTGCAGCAACATCGACTGCCATCACCAACCCAGCACCGAGTCAGATTGGGATGGTGCTGCCAGGTGCATTCATGATCGAGCACTTGCAGCTGTCACTCTCGCAGCTCTCAGCAGCCACACACACACACACACCACTCACTGGCTCCATGATGAGGGCTCCTTCCACCCAGGTGCCACCGACTTCCTGGCCCAGGTCCAGGCCCTGGCCTCTACACCTGGAGGAAGGGGACATTTCACTGATCTGGTACTCTGCATGGCACATGACTTGGGCTTCCAGAGCCTGAGGCTAAGATGGTCTTTGATGCCCTGACCTCAGAGAGCACTAGCCCAGTCATCATTTCCTTTCTACCAGCCCTGTTGCCTACAGTGCAACAATCCTGGAAGGCCCCTGTGGTGGGACTGACCACCTCATGGAGGATTCAGTCCATCTATAGGGTGACAGAAAAATCATTTCCATTCCTCCAGCAACACCCCAGACCTGACAATATGGTGGAGTCAGGGCGGGGGACTTCCCAGCAGGATCATTCCACACAAGTGGATAGAGAGGGAGATGCTTTGGACAGTCTAGCTAGAAAGGTCTACAGGGTGTACTCACTAGGCCTTCACATTTCCAATTATGAGGCCACCATGGCCAGATACCAGCTTTTCCTCTGGGAAAAATGGGATTCTATGCATAACACTTAGCTGATAACTTCTGTGACACCACCTGTCTTGTCCATGCTGAGGTGGAGAAACTGTCCAGGTACCAAATCCAAGCAAACACCATTTCAACTGCGATGAGAAGGCAATGATGGAGCAGTAGCGATCTGCTGCCATGCCTGACTGCACTCTGCTGCCATTCTCCAAGCAACACAGGCCTGCTTAGAGGACATGCCCATTGATGGGGAGGGACTCTTTAAGGTTTGCATAGACAAAAATATGAACTTTAGGGCACCAACCCATAACCACAACAGTGTAAGTGTTAAGGGACCCCCTTGGGCTCTAGCCCTTTGAGGTTGTGGATGGTTCCTCTCTCTAAGAGGCACAGTGACCAGCCCTGCCAATAACCTATGTCTAAGTGCCAAGACACCAGCTGCAGGCACCAAGATTCAGGTCCGGGCAGCCCCCACCCCCTTTACAGTCCCCACCACCTCATAATTTCACCAACCATCTGGCAAACTTTCTTTCAGCATAGGAGGCCATTACCTCTGACTCCTGGGTTCTGTCTATAGTAACCATGGTACAGTATAGAGTTTGATGATCTTCTACTTCTACATTGCATTGAAGACCACCCTGCCTTCTCCAGCACTGATGGCAGAGATGCAGGCCCTGCTGTCCAAAGGAGTAATAGAAAGAGTCTCCATGGACCTGCAAAGAGGCTTCTATTCCCACCACTGTACCTAAATGGGGTAGAGGCCTCAGGCCAATCTTTGATCTCAGAGATATCAATAAATTAATCACCCTTAGGAGGTTCAGGATGATCATCCTGCAAGGCATCCTTCCCCTGCTTAGACAGGGGGACTGGTTCGCCTCCATTGACTTCAGGGATACCTATTTCCATACCAGTGTCAATCAGGCCTATAGGCATTTCTTCCATTTCCAGATTGGGCAGGAGACTTTCCAGTTCTCCATTCTCCTTTTCAGCCTTGCCACCACACCCCGTGGTTTTACTAAGTGTGTGGCAGTGGTCTGCATCCATTTCAGGCTCCAAGGCATCCAGGTCTTCCTGTACCTGGACAACTGGCTCCTGGCAGCCTCCTTCAAACCTGACCTCCCGTGAGGGGTGTGTACCATGTGCACTCTCTTACAGGACCTGGGTCTCCTTATCAGTCATGACAAATCTCTTCTCTCCCCAACCCAGTTCATCTTTTTCATGGTGGCTTGCCTGGACTCCATATTTGCCAAGTAATTCCTCCCACAGCCACAAGCAGAGGCCCTCATTTTGCTGGCCAAGTCCATCAGGACCATGGCCCACTCTACTGCGCATAGCATCCTCAGGCTCCTAGGCCTCATGGCCACCATGGTGTCAGTGCTGCACCTTGCTTGCCTTCAAATGAGACCCCTGCAGCTCTGGTTCGTGGAAGCCTTTGCCATGGATGAAGATCCCCACACCACAACACTGTCCCACATGCCATTGGTCAGGCACTCCCTGCAATGGTGGGCCACCATGGAAAACCTCACTGTTGAAGTCCACTTCTCCCCCTCCAGAGCCCTCCATCACAGCCTGATGAACACCGTAAATACAGGCTGGGCGCACATTGCGGCAACATGTGTGCACAGGGCCTCTGGAGTTGACACAAGTTGCCCCTCTATGTCAGCCTTCTCAAGATGTTGGCAGTGCACAATGCCCTCGACTGCTTTCAAGAATCCATTAGGGCCATCATGT